TACACACACATCTATTAATATTTACAAACCAAGTATAACAATATAACAAAGACTGGCAAAGAAATTAAAAATTTCAGCATATCTTACTTTGATACTATTTTCCCTGTAATGGTTTGTAGGAAATTCAGTCGAAAACTGTGTGTTTCTTCTGCAAGCACGGATACAACAAAGCTGTCTTCTATCTTATAGGTCGTGGCAGATGAGGCTTTCGAACTGACACCCAAGACCTAAATAAACAAATAAATAAATAAGTAGCCATTTTTATAACAAGTAGTCAGCTTTTTAATGTTTGAATGGAGTCAAATAACAAATTATCAGTCTACGAAAGAGCATCTCCCTTACACCCTTCCCCCATGGCCCATACCTACAACATATTTAAATAAGTCTATTCCTTTTTAATATGTGAATCTATAGCCTAAACTAAAAATTATAAAGGTTTCCAAATTACATTGCTACTTTATTTTTCTCTTATTTTAAATTAATCTCTACAAAATGGAATTATTTGAATGCCCCAAAGAAAGTGATATTGATCGTACCTGATTTGGGATTGTAAATCCAGACCTTGCTATTTTGCATGAATCCAAGGCCTTAGTTTTGATCACTTTGTCTTGATGAGCCTGGTAGGTCACTTTACAATCCCCAGAGATGTCTACCTAAAAAGAAAGGCAAGAGCATAACGCTTGGAAGTCCTTGTGGATCATTTGATTTCCGGTGGGAAGTGGCTTGAAAATTGAGATCTCTAATATGCCAACAGGGACTGCCTCTTTCACCAGCATGATAAGACAAAGCGACAGGAAGAACTCAAGGTTTCCTGTAGCATGTTGATTCTTTTCTATTCCCATTGGTTGAGTCTCACTAGTGCCTTCTCATTTTGTTACTTCAGAAATACTGTGGAATTTCCTACTTCTCTGTGTGTCCTGTAAGAACAGGACAAATGTCGGAGCCATAACTGAAACCTCTGGCCAGTGGGCCATCATGCTGCCAGGGGAGTTGAGTGTTAATGCTGTATTTAGACTCTGTGTGTGTGTGTGTGTGTGTGTGTGTGTGCGTGTGTGTGTGTAACTTCGACAAGCTGAGTATGACTAGAAATTCTTCAAAACCTTTGGGATTAATTCAACTCATCATTAGTCACATAAACAATTTGAGTGTAGGCAAATGTATCCCAATACAGATGCTGCTTAGCTTCTCTGAGCTTTCCCCTGGGCCTCTGCCAGCGCCCCACCTGCTCTCTATTCCAGCAAGCCAACCAACATTCTTCTGCCCCGTCCTGCTATCAGATGTTCTCATCCACTCACGGGCTGGCCGAATTCAGACTAGGAAACTTGGGTTCCAGATTTGATTCCAGGTGTGATACTGGGGATCCACTTAACTTCTCTAGCTTAACCTGTTTCTTCATTTGTAAAATGAAGGGGATTGGTATAGACCAGTGGTTCCCCACATTGACAATGCATCCAAATAATCCATGAACACTGTTCTAATAGACATGCTCAGGTCCTGGGGGGTGAATACAGGGAATCTACACTTTTAATAAGCTCCCTGTGGTACAGTGGTACGTGGCAATATCTGGGAATCAGTGGAATGAATGATTCTCAAGGTTCTTTGTATGTCTAACATTCAGTTATTCTGAAAGTCCCCTTACTGTAACAGATTCTCATTCTCTTTACACTGTATTTAAGTGATAAAACATTGAGGTAAATGGCAATTGTTTCATATACAAATGAGACTTGGCGACCCAATCACCTTTTCTGAGCATCACCATAGTAATAATTCTTCTACTGAATTTCTACAAGTCGAAATCCTTATAAACCCTACTGACAAGTAAGATGCTGAATTCTTAAGAATATTGGCGAGTACCTCATTGGTGGTTCCAGAGCTTAACTGGGTCTGAAATAGGCTAGCCAGGCCTCTCTTGAGATTTTCTATGGCCACTGGTTCATTTTGATATGAATAGAACTCTTTGATCTAGGGAGAAAAAAGGAGAAACACAAATGAAGCAAAAACGCATTATTTATCAGATGTGGCAGGAAGGGTCAGATTCTCACCCCTATTAATTCTGGGAGAAAGAGATCTGCTACTCCTAAGTTGGGATTTCCTTTTTGTGAAAAGAGGCTATGTAAGTTTCTAAAAAGCTGGACCATCAGAATTTGAAGTTTAGGGAGATTGATGATGCTGCTGAACATTACGGGCATTGAAGAGGGAAGGAAAGAGCACTGACAGGGGCTGGGATCTCTGTGAAAACAAGAAGGATTGTGCAAACAAGAGAAATCAGGAACATTTTCTTTGAATATGCCATCAGGCTCTCCCAGTAACCCTGCTTGAAACAAAAACTAACCAAGGTTTAGAATAACAGCAAATCTAAAAGTTCTTGGAAGA